TTTGTTTTTCATTCAGTGAAGTAGAAATTTTACTCAAGTAGAAATACTTAGTAATAAAATTACTCAAGTAAAAGTAAAAAATACAGCTTAGTAAAAAATGTACTCAAGTAAATGTAATTGAGTAAATGTAACTAGCAAATACCAAACTCTGGAAGCAGGAAGGGAGAAAAGCCAACAGATTTGACTTTTGTTGCAAAGAGGCGATAAAGGCTATAACGCTCCAGTAACATTTAAATTAAATAATATAAAAATAATCCATCATTTTCTGTTCATTCTCTTTGCTCTTATGCAACATTTGTGAATTAACTATAAGTCAGATTAATCAAAAATGAACACCTGCAGTTATCTCTGTTGCTTTTGCACCTTTTTTTATCAAACTTTTTCCTTCCACTCAATTTTCCAATAATATCCCTGAACACACACTCTGACCAGCCAGGTTCTCCAGCAGCGGCCTTTTCCAGCAGCCGGCAGGTCACCAGCTCCTCCCGATGATGGTGTAAGTCAAAGTTTCTCCGTTAAAGATCATTATTCTGGTTTTATATAATGTTTCTCACAGCTTTAGGCCATAATCAGCAAACTGAACCCAAATGAGCACATGAAACGTACCACTCTGCGCTGTGAATCTAAATGAGTTTCACATTTTCAACTGAATTACTGAAACAAATTAACTGTTCAACATGGTCCTAATTCATTGAAATTCACTTGTAAGTGTTGTTTAAACAGCGTTTATGAATGAAGCTGCTGCTGATGTCTTGCATCAAATGCTTCAAATCTTGCATTTCTCCACAAATGCAAGATTTGTGGAGAAAAACTGACGTATTGCACTGTGATAATTATTAAGACTGAGGGAAACGGGAGCAGAAAACATCTTCAGACGGCGTGTTTTTATTGATATGAAGGTCCAGCTGGCAACATGTTGGGATAAATATTACATCAGTTCTGATTTGTTCATTTTTGGTTCAGGATTCACATTTGTGGACGATTATCGCCTCCGCTTTTGGACCCTGTGCAGCTGGAAGGATGTTTGCACCATTTTTTAACTTTAAGACGGTTTTATGATGCACAATTATGACAACAAAATGATTTTCTCAATTACAACCATTAGCAGCTGATTAGCATCTTAAAAGCTAAAATGATACTTGAACTTTGACCTCAAATCCCAGAGGAGTTCTCGTCTGCCTACTATAATAACGAGCAAGGATATTGATCACCCAGTTTGTTGTCTCTCTGTCCGGCTTTCTAACCTTAATACCAGGGAGATGTTTAAATAGGAGCAGCAAAAGCAAATGAGGTGGATCAGCAGCGATTAGCAACAACTGGGTTTTTCTGGACGATAAATTGTCCCAGAGGTTATCGCAATAAATAATAATATCATTGCTTTGAGACCATTTTCAACTAATATAATGGCAGAATAATAATGCAGATGACATAAAATATGCAAAATGAACATTTTATCATTGGAACTGGAGACATTTTTTAAAAATTTTATATAAAATGGATTATAAAGTACTTCTAAACAAAAATGTCCTCAAAAAAAATAAAAAAGGTTAGTTGAGACCAAAGCACCAGACTGAAGACTTTTGTCATCCATGTTTTGGGTGGAATGAGAGAAAAAAGAAATAAGAATAAATCATGCAAACGGATCTCATTTCAGTCAATCATGTTATTGATTATTGCGACAAAACTTCATGCTAGAGTGAAATATCGTCTTTACTGATCAGATTTTGAGCTATTATGACGGTCAATCTGTCAGACAGCAACAGTCTTCAGTCAGAGGCCTCTTCAGATTGATCGTAACACTGACTGCTACTGGAGATCCTTCCTGCTCACAGCATCACCATCCACTGCTCTAATGGTGAGTTCACACCAAACGAAGCATTTCAGCTGCTGGTTTACATTCAAAGTGGAGGCGCACTGCATTTCCTGCGTCTGGTGCGGCGATACCTGGAGCATTTTGAGCGTTTGATCGTCCGTCAAACGCGTCCGACACTGAAATTGAAAAATCTGAACTTTTGCAGAGCTATGTGGCGTAACGGTGAGTTTTACGACATGATCTCAGAAAAATAAAACAACTATGTAGGATAAACTAATCGTCTCCGTTTGCGGTCGTCCTATAATCTATAACCAATCAAGCTGTGACCACAGAGACAGGAAGTGAAAGGATCAGCCAGGAAGTTGGACTGTAGAGCAAGTCATAACTTTTACTATTTGAAAATATTCCCCTGCATTTGAGCTATCCAAATCCATCCAGCAAAAACACTGAGTGACACTAAACATTAAATAAGTGCCAAGTAACGTTAAACATATTTATTTAGATTAAATATGCAGGAGGAAGAGTAGAGGGACACGTACGCCGAGGAGTCTCCTCTCAACGCCCTCTACAGCGATTTTGACGCGTCTAGAGCAAAACGTCAAAGTGAGCACACATCGAACTCGAAGCGTCGGACGCACAACGCGTTTGGCGTGAACGCACCATAAAGAAACTTTATACGAGTTGCAACATTTAATTATTGAGAACAAAAACCTATTTAGCGTGAAACTTTCTACATTGCTCCCTCGTATAGAAACCTGATTCATAAAGCAACGGTACTCCGCTCTGCTTCACAGTTTAGCGTGTCGGTCTCTCTGCTCTCTGCGTGAAGGTGACCTTCACCAGGCGTCTGAGCTGCTTGGGAAGCAGAAATGTAATTACAACAGCGGCAGACGTACAACCGAAGAAATGACAGAGTCGTCACGCAGTTCTGACTCCAACATCTGCTACATGGCCGCCTGGTCGGCTGACATGCTAAAGCAACCCCGAGAACAGCTGATAAGAATATTTTACCCATAATCCCCAGCCAGACTAACGCGGTTATCAACGTTCCTACGGAGAACCAGCTGCCAGGCAGATCCTCCACAGCAGGCGATAAAGTCGTTACAGGGTTAAAGCCTGGAAGAGTTTGGCACAGCGGTGGTAAAAGAAAACAAGATAAAAGGGAAATGTTTGTATATGTATTGTCTATTATTATTAATTTCCTTTAAATTAAGAAATTTGGGATCCCAGGAAGCCAATTATTACCACTTACTTTGGGAATGTCCTTCACTTTATTTGGGGAATAAATAAATTTAACTGGGAAAAACGTCTTTTTGAGTTCATACAATCAACTACTGTAAATATTAAAACCAAATATTTACTAAGAAAAGCGAGTACAAAGACTTAAACCTGATATAATAAGTTTAAATGAATGGTTTGACATCATATGTGTATATTTCTGATGGGAAAGAATCAGTTTCTTAGACATTCAAACAGACGTAAAATGTTTCTTCTCGTTTCTGTGTGAATTAAAAATAAAAAATGATTCTGCACAAAGAAAAAGTAATGAATTACAGTCTTGATCCAAACGACTCGCAGCATCTGAAACGCATTTTAAACTGCATTTGATGTAAATACAGACTTCTGCCTGTTGTACAGATGGACGTCACTCACTGAAATGAACAGACATTTGGGGTGAGGAAGCAGCGCTCACCTCGTACTCGCGGACCACCCTCATGCCGCGCCCGCCTCCTCCGTACGCCGCTTTGAAGATGATGGGGAAGCCGTAGGTCTGGGCGAACGCCTGCGCCTCCTGCAGGCTGGAGATGGGCGAGTCGGTTCCCGGGACCACAGGAACACCTGCAAGCAGGAGGGGAGAAAACCAAACAGTTTAGAAATGAGGCTGACTGAATCTGTAGCGCACTTTTCACGAGTCCTGAAGCTGAACCGTCGTCACCGCTCACCTGGAATAACTTAAGTTTGTGAAAGATCAGGTTTTAATCATTCAAAGCTGTTTACTGACGAATCAACGCTTCTCCAAGGTCCTGTTTTCATACAAAACTCTGATTTCCTCCTCACCTGCTCCAATCGCCAGCGAGCGCGCCTCCACTTTGTCTCCCATCTTGCGGACCGTGTCTGGGCTCGGCCCGACAAACCTGACGCCAGCGTCGGAGCAGGCCTGAGCGAAGTCTGAGCGCTCAGAAAGGAAGCCGTAGCCAGGATGGATGGCATCCACGCCGTTTTCCTAAGACGAGAAGTGAGCTCTACGTTAGTACGGGAAGCTTTGAAATGATGCTACTGCCACCCTGGACTGGAGGGCCGTTAACAAAATATTTTCCATATTTGACCGTTTTTGTTTTTCTTTTAAACGGCGGAAAAACTTCAAGGCCGTCTTTCATTTGACAGGTTATAATTCACACCCTTGACTGGAGCACATGGGCAGATATTACAGACTTTATGCAATGATTTCATCCAAGAAGCAACTAAAATCACTCAAAATCCGTTCTGAACATCAACTCATGGACTCTGAACCAAGTGCGTCTTCCTGACAGCGTATGGACCCGACGCCTTGGAGCGTCTGGCTAGGAAGAGCTTTCCAAACCTCTGGCTGAAATGAAGCGTTTAATTCCAGTTTCCACTACAGACCAGAGAAAAATAAAGAGATGTTGTGTTAATCTATTTATGGTCTAAACAGACGAGTTTTAGAGGAGTTTAGTTTATCTTGAGGAAGTTGATTGAGAAGTTAATTAGATCGTAACATGCGCAGTGCGCTGCACAACTAACGCGGACGCGGCTCCGCCGCTGCGAAGAGTTGAACTCAACATCCTGCGGTTTTAACAAACGGAGCTGAAGACGTTTCCCTCGTCGCGCAAAAAAATCCTTGTAGAAGCGAACATCCGGACCACACAGGGTAGAAAACTGGCAGAGTTCAATGGATCGGTTTGGATCCGACAGATCCAAATGACTGATGAACCAGCGCAGATTTCTCTGCAGATGCGACCAGGAGGAATTTGTTCAGGCCCCAGCAGGTGAAGTGGAGTCGTTTAATTTAATTTATTATAAGTTACTGGGGCCTCAGTCAGTGGTTTTTTGTTAGATGTGTTTCTCTGCTTTATGTGTGATCTGGATTCAGGTTCAACTGGGTGAATATCAACTAAACCGCGCAACAAATGCGGCTGAACGGCCGATGTTAACATGGTTATAGTTTAACGGGTAAAATCTGTAGGACAGATTTCTTTTTATGCCAGACCAGGACACCGAGCTGTAGCAGTACTTATCGGATCACACAGTCCAACCAGACGTACGCGTCATTCATCGTTTCATTTACGAAGCCCACAGCGGCAGCAGCAAAACACCAGCAGCTCCTACAGCCAACTCTCCTCTTCCTCCCTTTGGCCCTCCTCATCTTCATCACCACCATCGACTTCAACGCGCTCCGGTTCAATTTGAAAAGGCTTAACGACGTCACTCGATGCCGTTTCTAGCTCTGTTGGACCATTAGACGTCATTTTCCCAGAATGCATTGCAGCGAGAACAACACGCCGACGTTGGTGTGACAATATTTTACTAAAATGTATAAAAACTCAGCTAAATAAAGTCTATTGTAGCCGTGGATAGAGGTGCTGAGCCGAGGCTCGTGCTCAGACACGGCGCCGGCCGCTCCTGATGGATAAAGCCATCACTGGCGCCGTGTGTGCCATCTGCTCTTCTACACGAGGCGGGCTGTAATTACGGACCGTCCTGTTGCTCAGGGGAGCCGGCGCTGCCAGGCCAGGGGAGGCATGTTGCCACACACAGGCGAGCAGGTTCAAACACCCACACACGAAAATGTGGAGAAGATCGAGATGGAGACGCCGGCTGAAAACGAGCTCAGAGCAGAAATCTCACAGAAGGCACGGAGAGAGACATCGGCATTTCTGTCACACATTAGGAGTGACGGCGCGAACAACAGGTAAACATACGCCGACATTCATCGTGAAAGAAAACAGACACATCTTCCTGGCATGTGGTGGCGGCGCTCCCAGACAGCCGGGCTGATTTAGAGAAATGAGTTGGATGGTGATGCCTCCCTCCGCTTGGCTGGTCGAAGACGGGGAGGAAAGAAAACGAGAAATCGCACCCGACACGAGAGAAGGGTCAGGAGAACGACAAAGAACAACTGCAGCTGGTGCAAAGAAAGGAGGGAAAAAAGGAGCCGATCTGATCGGTGGGATGATAAGCTGCAGGAAATGAAGGTGGGAAGAAAGGAAGATGGAAAACTAGATTGAATAGGAGGGACATGGGAGACGCACAAAGAAGTGAACAAAAGACACAGGTGTGCAAGAGAATGACAACCGGGCCGAGAGCAGACAGGAAGGAGTGTCAGAGCTGACACTTCTCCTCTTTTACAGGTCCAAAAATATGTTTGCATCTACATAAAAACAATCAGATGTGTCCACTGGGTCAGATTAAGAGCCTTAAGAGTAAATGAGTCTAATGAACGCCACGGCTCTGCTGCCAAGTCGGCTCGTTTTGGGTCGAAGCAGCAGCACAGATGGAGTGGTTTTAATATGGCAAGCCATTTAGCATTCAATCAAAAGTCAACAAAAATATCAGCAACATAAACATCGCATATCGACTCAACATTCCATGTATCGATACTTCACTAATGGAGATGGGTAAACTGATACTAAGCTCCAAAGCACCAGTTTGAAATAATCTACATGCTCCAAATTATATTTATTATCTTTATACCTGGTTCACTACTGCCCAAGTTTTTTGTTTCTTTCTGTACGTTTCTTGTTTGAAATAAAAGTTGTTGAGGAAAAAAACAGTATGTGGGGAGAGGAAACTGAACTGACACGCTTCAAAGATGAACCTTACGCTGAATTAAAACAGAACATCCAGGTAAACTAGAGCTTTAGCTAAAGTTAGCTGAGTCGCTAACTAAAATAAAATATGCTTCACCATTGGTGAAAGTGTTCTTGGCTCTCCAAGTCATTTAAAAAGAGATGGAAAAAAAACATCTGAGGTCATGTCTAAGAAGAGATTTTAAATTTAAACCAATTACAAAAGTTGTTAAACTAAAAACAGAAGCTAATAAACCATAACAACCTACAACCATCATGCTCCATCAAACCCATTGCATCCTCTCCAACCATCACCCACGTTGTGTTTGAGTCCACACGTCACAGTTTGCAGCAGTACATGTTAGTAGATGTCCTTTACCTTGGCCACTTTGATGATGTCTGGAATGTGCAGGTACGCCGCCACTGGTGGCAAACCTTTTCCGATCAGGTAGGCCTCATCTGCCTTCTGCCTGCAAACAAACATCAACACGGATGTTAATGTTTCCCTCCACATGCTTTTCCTCCAGGCAGTCGGTCCATAAAACTGCACCAACAGCAGTTTTCTGGCCGATCTCCGATCTTTAAAAAATCCTGACCTGCCTGTTCTGGTCTTGGCTGATTTTACTTTGTCTGAAATGTTGCTAATTATAGTAAAAAAAAAAGTGGGGTAACTGTTAAGAGCAGGCATGACCTGCGGGGCCGGTCAGTCAAACCTCTCACAGGAAAACAGGAGAGGACAGGGGCTGATTTTTGGACCTTTGCTCAGGTGGATAAAAATCAGCTTCACGTTTAAGTATCGGCTGATCACCACTCTCCCAAAATTAAGGAAATCGGCACCGATAAATTGGCACACCCTTAATGAAGGAGTAATGAAATTAACTTTTTTTTTTTTAATCCGCTACTTTTTCCCCCCCACGCTTTGAACCATCCGGCTTGTAGCCCGGTGTGGCTTTTCTGTGGATTTTTCTTCAACCACCAGGGGGCGCTTTAGCAGGAAGTGAATCACTGGAAGTCAAAATTGGAAATCAAAGCATGTGCTTGTTCATTTAGAACAAGCACATGCTAGCAGCAGGCACGATGGAGAAATGTTTTCAAACTCGTATGATGCAGCTTTTAAGTTGAAGGCTGTCGATCTGGTAGTAAATAGAGCCGCTGCACGTACACGAGTCCATGGATCAGCATTGGAGACGCAGGGCTGAGTCCTTTATAGCAGATTTATTAAGTGAAAAACCGAGAGAGGCGGAGATACCAGCGGCTTATATGCACATTTCCAGTTTTTTTAAACTTTGTGGGTGCGGCTTATAGTGAGGTGCGCTCTATAGTCCAGAAAATACGGTATCCATAACTCTTGGCTAAGTGATCTTTACTTGGTTTCTCTACATTTAACCCATTAACTTTGCATCCAGTCAGGATTTCCTGTAACTGAGTGAGAATAAAGATGGAGAGCAAACGTAGAGTAACATATCAACTGGGACTGAACAGGATTTTTTTAGCGTTTACCCTCCAAACAACTCGACTCTTGTTGCCATTTCACACAAAACCCAGCGATGATCAAAGCACCAATGGGAGAACAGAGGCTTCAAACCTTTCTTTGTTACTTGGCGGTTGCATCATTTGGACAAGACATCTGTGAGCGTCATGATTTATTTACCGAAGTCTCTGAAGACGATCGTTACCTGTGCATCTGTCCGGTGTCTTGCTCAGAGTAAACAGCCACGGTGCGAATCCCCAGTTCGGTGCAGGCTCTGAACACTCTGATGGCAATTTCACCTGGGAAAAAATTAAATTAAAGAGGAGCAAAAGTAAATTAAGTCATTCTGCTGCGAGCATCACAAACACTGAGGTTTAAATCATTTAAACCTCAGTAAATAGAAATAATTTTGCTAATTCCAACTAACCTAAAATAAGAAACTTTCAGTCTAATTTAACTTCAGACGGTGAATAAAAATTTCTTGTTTCAACTGTAAATAATGGCGTTTAATCTAACATTAGCTTGCACTTTAATACTTTATTACAAAGCTGCTCAGTTAGAATATCAAGCAGTTTCCAAACCCCATTTCGATGATTTCCAGCAGCCACACATTTCCATCCCCTTCACAACTACGCCCCATTTTGTTCATCATAAAATCTCAATAAAACGTACAAAAGTCTCAATAACTGTGAAAAACTCCATGTGATGTGCAGAGAAAAAATAAGACATTTGAAAGACAGAAAGCAGCAAAACTAAAGAGCCTAGCAGACGTTCGCTGACGGAAACAAAAAAAAAAAAAAAAAACACTCCTTAGCGTTCATCTTGTTGTCACAGGAACCAAACGCTCAAAAAAAAAAAAAAGAAAGCAGCAGAGTTTAGTGAAAAAACAACCTCAGTCACTGAAAGCTGTTATGTTTTGTTCTGTTTGAAGGGGAGGACAGGAGACGGCATTTAAATGTTTGTGCAGCTTTCTTTAAAAAAGAAAAAAAAAGCAGCAACTCACATCACAAAGGGAAAATTAGTGAGGGAGAGATTTATAGAAAAACAGATTAGACAATTTGAATCAGAGTGAAGGCTGGGGTGAAGGGTCCTTTAAAGAAGTGACAATCACAACCGAGCAGCATGGCGTCTTTAATGGAGACGCAGATCAGTTCAGAGGAGACAAAAGCAGTGGGAGGGAGGAGGCAAATGAGGAGGAGTAAACAAGGGGAGTCACAGCGGGGCAGAGAGGGAGACAACAAGTGGCTGGGAGCAAAAATCACATCTGACAAGAGCTGCAGAAACGAGGAGCAACAAGCATGGAGGACAGGAAACCAGAGCGGTTGCACTGGGAGTGATGGGCTGATGCTGAGGACTGTTTACTTAGAGCAGCAGCAGGTCAGCATCATGGGGAAACAGAAAAGGTATTGAACTCAGATGTGTGAGTAAGTTTGTTATTTAAAACGGACCATAACTGAGAAAAATGAAAATTAAAAGGTCGTAGCAACAAGTAAGTATTTGGGTTCAACGTACTATTTTGTCCCAAAACATTGACAAAAATAAATGTAATCTGAGCATTTTTTTCTTCAAACCATCTCGACTCAATCTGGAGATCTCCATATTTGCTAGCATGATGCAGCGCAGTAATGATTTGGTCCAGAGATCAGAAAACCGACGTTTTGAACCCAGAAAGCTCCTTTAGGAATCTGTGGCCAGATGTCAAAAACAGGAGAAAGAGCAGAACCCAGCATGTTACAGACGTTTCTCCTTAAAACACTCTCCAGTTCAGCCTCCCATTGAGTCTGCTTAAATATTAGCATTCAGAAAGGAAAACTTAATGCAGCACATTAAAAATGAAACGATCCCAGAGTCTTTCTGCCTCAGGAAGACAGTAAAAGTAACAGGCTTTTCTTAAATTAGACATGAAACAGCGTTTAATTCAACAGCAACACTTAAACATTAGTGCTGGAAGAAAAGCTTTACCTCTGTTGGCCACCATGACCTTCTTGATGGGTCGGTACTCGGTCTGCGGCGCAGAGTGGGCGGACCGGGACAGGAGACACGCCCTCCTGACGGCGAGCAGGCCGAGGCCGCCTCGCACCGCTGCAAACCTCAACATCCTGACAGGCACAAAACAAGAGCAAAACACAAAGGTCAAGCTAAGACATGGGGAAGAAGGTGTGAAACAAGAAAATCAGTGCTAGCTAAACCTCAACGGCTAATCATAAACGTTAGCAACCACATGGTATTTAGCAGAAGCTAATGCTAAAGTGCTAGCTTCAAATCAAATTATATGCCGTTGGGAGACTACAACTCCCAAACTACTATTTAATTTTGACATGACGCTCTTAGACATTGTATTTATATCTCATCTAATATTAGCGTTTTATTTTATTACTCTACGCTTGATTGAAGTAAAATTGAGAAAAAACAACAAGATTAAGCAGAACTGCTGCATAAACTGTTGAAAATAAGAGCATGAATCTAAACACTTTACTTGAATAATTAATAACCAAAACTTCAACACAGATGTTTAAGTTCATTAAACAGAAAGTTTACAAAACAACAAAGTATGTTGGCACTTTTGAATTTATCCAGAGAAATCAACTTGGAAGCGTTTTCAAAGTTAGCTAAGATGCTAATGAAATCATTAGCATAGCTATTAGCATAAACGCTAAAAGAAAACAAAAGGATTACTTTAAACCAGGGTGTGAGAAACATTTTTACACCATTACAGCTAAATAAAACATTTAGAGCCACAATGTTACAAAATGTATTTTTATTTCTAATATTATAATATACTAATATTTGCCGTCATTTTTGAAGAAACACCATTTTATTTCCGTTTTTAAAGGGTTTAAACAAAGGGTTAAAATAGAGTTTTTGTAGTTAAAATTTCATTCATTCAGCATAAACAGAAAAGGCTGGATTACACCATTCTCAAATATCTGCCATAAAAGTTTAATATTTGACGATTGACTATACAAATTATAATTTTACAGTTTCCTAAAATAGTTCAACATATAATTTTCTACAGTGTTTTTAAATTTTGAGGAAATTTCCTAAAATGTAGGGTTAAAATAGGTTAAAATAAACATTACTGCCATTCAGTTATGGAAATTTAAAAACTACAAAAAACACCATTTGTTACATCTATATTTAAAAACATTGGCTGGTTCCTTATTTTTGCTCAACCTGCTTCACACTATGAATTCTGGGACGTTTCCTGGATTGATTTCTTGTAAGTTTCAGGGAAATGTAGCGAATGTGACAAACGGAAACCATTTATCAAACCCAGTGAGTTTGTTAATCCATCCAGACCGGAGGCGCCTCTTCACATTAATAAGAAGAACAAACATGTTAATTAAAACCAACTAAACTGCAGTTTTTCCTCAGGTTTTAAGGCAACCAGCTGCATTTGTATCCATTTTTAACAAAGACTTTATTACTATGACGTCAAATTAAAACAATGAAAAATAATCCAAACAAGAGCAAAAGCAAAAGAGATCATGGAGATTTGCATCATTTATTGACCAAGAACTTCAGACTGCAGAGAGAAATTTGACTTTTGCAACAATTCAAGTTGATAAACGTTTATAGATTTAATGCAATATTAGCAACAATCCTTGTAATAAACTGATTATTAAAATATATTAAAACAAATTTAAATCAGACTCATTAAATGGAGCTGCAACAAAATAAACCAAAACTTTGTGTAAGAACATTTTCAGCGGTCAGCCATGTTGGTTAAACCTTTAGAGGCATAACATCTCATCGCTCCACATTATTAAAACATTTTGCTTTCACATTTTTCACACGCAACAGTTGGAAGGTTTTTGGCAAAATATATGTGACAAACGTCACAGAACGTAGCAACAGTGTAGGAAACACAAAGCAGACAGAGGAAAAAAAATAAATAAAAACTGAAAAGAAAATATTACAAATACATAATGAAGATCAACATCATTACCAATATCGAGCTGTAACTCCATATTTTTCCCAGATCCAAGTCCTGACGGCATCTTACGAGAAATTGGTTTTTATAAAGAACCACTTATACAAAAAAAATGAGTTTTTATAACTTTTTTTATTATATTTTTATTTTTATAACATTTTAATTTTTTGACAATTTTTTTTAATTGAAAAAAATTCAAGTTTTTTTAATTTGTAGAACTAATTTTAAAAAAAATCTGAACAAAAATATTTCATTTTGAAACAATTTTTAAATTAAAATTATTTTTTTTATTTATAACAAAACAATTTCCTGAATTATACATTATTTACATGAAGGGGGGCAAAAGTCTGGTTCGAGGGCCACTTGTGGTCCTTGTAAGGATTTAGTTTGGTCCTGGACTGCAGATCAACAACGGAGCAATGTTCCCCTCAGTTAAATGAAGTTGATGCAGCGGGGCAGTTTTTACAGTGTTTTCAGGAGGAACTTTTAAAACGTCCATCTCTCCGTCAGGGACAGACGGGGGCATCCCAGGTGCACAAAGAGGCGTTTTCAAAGATCCTTCCTCCCAGAACATTTTACAATCTTCATGCATTTGCAGTTTTTCTTATTTTAAATAAGATTTCTGATCCACATTTATAGTTTAATTGCAACTTACTCTGTTTTTAACGCTCAAATACACATTTTATTTATTTTTAATAAATACAATTATTAAAAATAATGCTTGTTCCTTATTTTTAATAACTCCCCACACTCATCTATATTTTAATTTAGTGTACAGTGTTTTATTTCTAATTCTGTTGATATATAATCTATATCTGACTGAATCTTCAGGCTTTCATTGCTGCTCTTCTCTTCAGAGGTACAATAAAAGTTATTTCTATTTTTAAAGGGAAGCGATTTGGTATTCTGTTTATTTCTGCTTTCATTTTAAAGTCGTACGCAGGGAAACAAACATCCACCAACTTTTCACTCAAAAAGAGCCTTGAGAAAACTCGATATTTTTGGCTGATAAAAGGTTTTTCCATGACAGCTCTCGGTTTTTATTTGCCATCTTGTATTTTTACTAAAAGCATTTTCTGCAGCAACAACAGAAAATGTTCAACGTCTCAAAAAGTTAGGAAACCAGAGATCTATTGGTTCTTTTTTTTTTTTGCTTTGTTTCATCAAAATATCACACGTTTAGCATGCTGCTCTGCAGGTAAAAGGAAAATAATTTTCTAGATTTTGTCTCAAAAGGTTTGAACATCAATGATTTAATAAAATGACCAAACTAAACATGTAGAGGCAGAATTTGTTGAACCAGAAAAATTATGTAGATGATGCATGAAAAACTGAAGTAAAACCAAAACGAGCCCCTTCTCCCCAATTAACTTTTACTATAAAAGCTACAACAGCGTGGCTCGTTATTTTTGACTGAAGCTGCAGGGAGCCGCTGAGCCGGCCTAAAGAGCCACCAGAGGCCTGAAAGCTACAGGACGGCGACCCCAGGGTTAGTCCAAGCAGAACGCAAAAAAAACACGTTCCACAGATGGATTCATGCTGCAAAAACGAACATTATGGGGCCGCTTCCCCTTTAAATAAACAATTCATCTGCACAGAAAGGAAATGCATCTCTTTGTTTCTATAAATGATTTTTGGTAATAAGTTTGGAAAGTCTGTTTTCTTCTAATCAAAACAGGAAAACTGGTGTTTGGGTCGAGCAGCAGAGTTAAGTTTGAGAAGTCAGAATAATGATTTTAAAACTCATTTCTCAAAAGCAAAATTGTGAGATGAGGTTTTATTTTTCAAATAAAACCTTTAAAGTAGAAACTAAAACTTCTGCAGTTTGATTTTAATAAAGGACAAGAGCTCAGCTGTAAAAACAAAGCGCAGTCCTGGAACGCGCAGGCCGCGTCTTTCCCTTACAAAACAAAACTTTACTCTTTAGTTTCAATCTAAAATGGAAAATGTGAAGATAAACAGGAGAAAAGCTGATAGTTACTAAATAAAGTTTCATTTTGCTTTAATAATAGAGCTGCAACTGACGTATTTCAGTAATCAGTTATTCTATCAATTATACCTACGATTAATCACATAAAAACTTTGGCACATTCTGCAGATTTTTCATTTAAGCCTTTTTATACTAGAAATTCAGCAAAAGATGCAAATAATTAAATTATCTTTTTAAATGATAAAGATTTACTGCCTAAAATGTGATGCAGCTTTTCCTTTAGTGTGTCAAACAAAGGATGCATCTGCAGATAAAATTTACTGCCAACATCAAATCAAAGTTTATTTGTGCGGCACATTTCAGCAGCTAGACGGCTCGCATAATAAAAACAGAAAATTATAGACTTGTAGAGAAAACACCATACAGTCCACAACTGAACAGACATGATGAGTAAAATCACATCAAATCATACATGTTGGTCAATGTTTCAACATTTCTTCTCAACAGGTGAAAATCTCACATTTCTGCTCTTCTCAATACAGTGTATGGCTGATCTGTTGATTGGTTTTCTATGTTTTTATATTCTAGATTAGCCTGCATCATGGTTTTTTTAACATTATATTGGTTTTTTATTTCTGTTGCTCATTTCTGTCCACTTTCTGTAATCACAGCTTAAATTTCCTACTTGAGGCTTCACTAAAAGATTATCTTATTAACTGATTAATAATTGGGCAGCAAAAGATGCTCAACGTTTTTTTACTAAATTCAAACCAGATGAAGATAAAACCCGAGTTACAAGTACAACATATTTACAAACTTTATCTTAAATGAAAAATGTATTTGTAGTTTTGGCTTAATTACTTCTCTGACTGTTAATTTCAGCAAATGACATTTCTTTTGAGTCTGTATACTCCAGTTGCTAAATCATTCCAATTATCAATTCATCACCATTAATCCGATTAATCGTTTCAGCTCGCCGGCCACCATCCAGGCGGTTCGGATGTGGTGGCTGCAGCCGGCCGACGACCAGGAAGTAAAGGATGTTTGTCAGCAGCAGGAGGTCAGAGGGACAAACGTTTATTACAGCTGACAAGATTAACGAGCATTAATGAAATGCGGACAAGGCTGCAGTTCATGTTCCGCAGATTTATCGACCATTATTTAAGATCTCATTTTTACCTCAACAGCCAAACTGTTGGGTTTATCAGCCAAATGGTAAAATATGGGAGTCCGTT